AATAAATAAATAAATAAATAAATAAATATTTTTTTAAAAAAAGTATTTTTGTAAGGGCCAGGGAGATAGCTTAGCAGAATAAGCACTTGCCTGGCAAGTGCAGGGTCCTGAGTTCAATTCCTAGTTCCGCAAAATAAATAAATAATAAAAAGTATTTTTCTTTTGCTTTGGTGCCACTACAACAGAAGTACGGGCAAAGGACATAGATATACATTTACTGATATCAGAAAAAAAGAAAATTTATGATGCTGTGGAGATTCTCTGTATTACAAATTATATATAGAACTGATTGCTTCCTTCAGACTTTTTTCTAGGTTCCAAATAAACCTAAAAGGCACAAGAGTATCACATCCCTAATGTGTTAACCTTTAGTTGTTAATTAAAGCTCAGTAAGGGGCCAGGGAGATGGCTCAGTGGAATAAGCGCTTCCCTAGCAAGCGCAAGGGTCTGAGTTCATTCTCTGGTTCCGCAAACAAACAAACAAACAAACAAAAATAAAACTCAGTAAATGTTTATTAAATAAAGTTAATCTGGGGGCCGGGGAGACAGCTCAGTAGAATAAGTGCTTGCCTGGCAAGTGCAAGGGCCTGAGTTTAATCCCCGGTTCCTCCAAAAAAAAAATAAAAATAAAAAAATAAATAAAAATAAATAAAGTTAATCTGATAACCCGGATAAAAACCCATACGTATAGAATACCATGGAAGGAACATTAATTGACTATATTTAAATTCCAAGTATGTTTGTTTCGAAAAGAAAAATGAATTTCCTTATCATATAATCACATGCTAGCTATTTTAATAAGATTTTATTGGAAATAAAAATATAGTCTTTCATTTCTACCTAAGTTAGACACAGTGTGGTGTTTTTTTTTCTTGTGCTAAAATATCAATATAGTTCTGGAAACAGCCACAGCAATCACACAGAGAGAAAAATAAAAGGAATAAAGATTGTAAAGAAGGACTAGTAAGATAGCTCAGGGTCTAAAGTGCCTGCTTAGGCAAGCTTAGGCAGGTAGAGCAGACCACACACTGCGCCGGCCCTCAGGGCAGGTTGAGGCCAAAAATAAAGAAGATTGGAAAGGAAATGAAATCATTATTTGCAGATGATGTGATACTCTACACGGACGACCCCAAAACTCCACCAAGAGACCTGTAGGCTTAATGTTAGTAGCATACCATGCTTCCAAGTCAGCGCTCAAAAATCATAGCATTTTTGTACAGAAACAATGGAGAAGGTTTCTGTTTGTTCATTTGGTTTTTGGCTAGTTCAGATGCCTTAAGGGCGGGTCTGGTGGGACTTTGGAGGTGGGGATCGAACTGTGGTCCCCTGCACCTGGCTGCATTTGCCCCAGTGGTGCTTTAAACAGCTGAGCTACCTGGCAAGCCCCCCTTGTCCCTGTACTGTAGAGAGCTGCGCACAGCCGCGCCCCAAAGATGGCGCTGGCTTCCGCTTCCCACCCCCTGCGGGTGAGTGCTCTATGTCAGTCAACAACTCCATATAAGGCTGGGACCAAGGCCCATGGTCTGCTTCCGCATCCCTGGACCTATGGGCAGCGCTCACGCGGCACTCCGGGATAGGCTGCAAAAGGGGATATATGCCGTAGGAAAGCCCCGGAAGATATAGGGAGAAGAGCTTGTAATTGGAGGTCCTGAATAAACTGCTGCAAGAAGAGCTGGTCGCTGCGTCTTCCTTGCTGGCGAGGTCGTGCGCAACACTGTACAGAAACAATGAATGGGCTGAGAGAGAAATAAGGGAAACCATGTCTTTCAGAATAACACCCAAAAAAATGAAATACTTAGGAATCAAATCTCACAAAGGAAATTACAGTATTTGGAGAAAAGAGAATACAGAGGATTCAGAAAATGGAAAGCTATTCCTTGCTCATGGAGAGGAAGAATCATTGTGAAAATCATCATACTCCTAAAATTGTTATACAGAGTCAATGCAATCCCAATGAAAATACCATTAGTATACCTCACAGATCTAGAGAAAAGTCCTTAAATTCACCTGAAACCAGAAGAGACCTGGAAAAGCAAAAGCAACTCTGGGCAACAAAGGAAAGGCAGGAGGTATTACAATTCCTGACTTGAAATTATACTACAAAGCTACTGTGATAAAATAAGCATGGTACTAGCAAAAAAAGACCTAACGATCAACGCAACAGACTGGAAGATGCAGACATAATTATAAACACATTTAGCCACTCTATCTTCAACAAAGGGGCAAAACATGTGCACTGGAAGAAACACTTTCATAAATGGTGCTGGAAAAACTGGTTATCTACAAGCAGAAGACTAAAATTAGACACATAACTATTATCGTGCACCAATCTACAGTCAAAATGGAACAAAGATTTAAATATTAAAACAGAAACATTAAATCTTCTGCAAGAAAAAAGCAGGTAGAAATCTTAAAGGCATAGGGGTAGGTAGGGTATTTGTGAACAAAGCAAAACTGCAAGGGAACTACTTCAAAGAATCAACAACTGGGGTCTTATCTTTTTGAAAAGTTTCCGCAGTCAAAAGAGTTCACTGGGGACTAGGGAGATGG